TCAATGAAACATAAACTTTCTCACGGGCTTCGCCCTCACCGCTTTGCGGTCTATCTAACTTATTTCTTATATCATCTATACGCTTCAAAATGTCTGAACAATTGCTAACATCTTCTACAACAGTTATTTCATCATGAATGACCTTCAAGAACAAGCTCATTTATATGCAATTAAAATCATTTCAATAATGAGTCCATCCTTTCCATCTTTAGGTAGCACAACATCTTTCATTGAAGAAGGTTCGACAAGTCTTATGTTAAACTTACTGACAAAGTTTGTTATACTATAATGCTTCGGCGGCGAATACATGTAGTTTGAAAGACATAATATAGATTCTTCAGCAAATTCACTTATACTGGATTTTATAACAATGTTCTCACGAGACAAATACCACAATTGACAATCTTGTAAGCAATCCTGCTGAAGCTTCTACTGTAAATGTCGATGTAAATTCCACGAGGTCATCTATTGACATCGTTGAGTCACTGTATTTAAATATTTTCTTAAAGCAATCGTCATTATCTAACCATGCAATAGCTTTGAAGTTTTCATTCGAATATACATCTGCTTCATTAAATGTAAAACCTGACTTCTTTGCAGAGACGACTTTAAAATCTATTGAGTTTGTTTCAAAATTATATGCTATGGTACTTCTGAAGGTAATGGATGTCCTTCCGCAGTAAGTTGTTCTCTCACTACCGTTTGAAGCTTTGTATTAAAAACTTTCATGTCATCTCCTGTATCTAAGTTCACATACACAGCAACAGGGAAACTATCTTGCTTCTTTGTTTCATCATTATAACTCAAAACATTAAAGTTCTTCAATAATATTGTTCTTCCTGCTGGAATACTTCGAACCTGTCTGATTTCAATAGCTTCTCTACCTCCTACATACTCTACCACGTGTCTTGGTATTCATAAGTTACTGACTTTCTTGAATTTTGGTAGGTTTCATCATAACGTGTTCATAGTAATCTTTATATCTTGTCAGTTAAGATCGGTGCTATGTTGAATATTTCTGACTTGTATTTTTAATGAGAATAAATGAAGCATTAATACATGACGTAGATGAAGACATGAATGAAACTACAGACAAACTTTACTCTTTTCTCATTCTTTCCTTTCAGTAAGGACTATGAGTTCTGTTCAAATGGTGTTTATTTCTATTGTGGAAAGATGGTTTAGGTAAGACATTTAACCTCATTCGTCATATACTCATAACAGAACGTTTTAGGAAATGACTCATATTATGACCAAATCATTATATCAGCAACTTCAACCCTATGACTAACAGCGAAAACATTTATGTCAAAAGTTCAAGCCTCTTCGTTAAAGTTCCAGACAGTGAACTCATTGAATTTTCAACGTTACATTCGACGTAAGAGGAAATATTATGCCAGTGTTGATTTATACAAGTCAGGAATGCAAAAGACTTCTGAGGAGATGGAGAGAATTATTGACAAACACCACTTTAATCTACTCAGGAGTTTACGATATGAACGATGACAAACTACATTCTATCAAAACTTTCAAAATACCCCTTCAAAAATATCCTTCAAATACTTTGTTAGTTTGGCGACTTCGCCGGAAAAGGTTTAGTTTCAAAACCAGACCACTACATTAGCTAACATCATTACTAAAGTCAGACATTACACATTAACTGTAGAATACTTATGCAAACATGGAGGTTTTTAGCTTTAAACATAAACGTCTCATAACTGACTTCGTTACTTTCAAGGTTTCTACGCTATGATATTGAACTCATTTGAAACAGTCAGTATAACATTACCTTTTGAAGAAATTTGGAAGCATATAAGTCTCTCATCTCTCTTCGTTCATACCTTGAGATTCATATCATATAATACTTAAAGTCAAAAATATTCATGGGAAAGACCAACATTGTTTTAAAGTTTAATCTTCAATTGATGATGGTAAACAAATTCCATGCATCTCTGTCGATTTTCTGTTAATATTTTTGCTGTTATCATATCATCCACTTCCCCTCGTTAGCTTTTTGAGGATATGCGTTAGAATAGCTGTTCTTAAATGAAGCTTTTCACCTTTGAGAGCATAAACTCTATAATTTCTGCATACTTAATGTTTGAACCTCCTGAGCCATCGTTGACATAATTTTTATAGGCTTCCACCCTTTGTTCATGTTCCTGCTCTTCCTTAGTCTCTTTTGTTCAGTTAGTTCTACATCTTATACACGCACCTGTTCTAGTGAATTCAACAATATTTTCATTCGTTAGCTTTACATTCAAACTTGTCGAGTATATTGTTCATTTCATACATATAAAAGGTTTTTATTCTATATGAAATGAGAAGCAAATCCATCTTAGCTGGTGCCGTTAATGTTCCAATTGAACCAACATCAATATGTTGACTCCACGAACGACAAACAATATTGTCATAAAGAACTATAGTTCCAGAGTGTTTGAAAGAAAAAGAACCAGAGCTGAAATCCGTGAATTTAACACAGCTTAAACGCTAAAGCTACATAGATGTTAAGTTAGAGTATCCACCACTGGACCAAATTCTTTCAAGAGAAGCCAACGACAACCCTTACACAATGTTCAAACAAATCTTGATAACGTAGACATTACCTTCTTCAGTTATACCAAAACATATTTTACTCAAAGACATTAAGAAGCTTTTGAAAAATCTTATAAGCAAGAACAATAATTCTAACAAAGGAGGACCTTGAAAATGTTATTCAGAATAACAGGGAAACAATGTGTCATTGACTATCTCGACCCTGAAATCGAATGCTGTGGTCAAACTCCACTATTCATGAAAATAGGTAACATCCGCATCATTGAAACACCAGGAACTACAGGAGTTGAGTTTAAGTATAAATATTCGAATGAATATACAAAACTTTCAACAGAATATAAACTTTGTTTGAAATATGTTTTAGTAAATTAAAGCAGTCAGGAGGGCTCTTTGAGCCCATCTTGGCGCTTTGCGCCGTCAGTCAAAAAAATTTCAAGTTAGCAATTTGTAATATCTATCCAAAACTTCTTCAACAGTATCGAACTCATCTTCATAATGCAAACCTAATCTTATTGACTTGGTGCAGTTTTCACTAACACAATATTTTTCTGTTCTCTTGACTGACATAACTAATTCATTTGTTTCATCAAACAGCAACAACCAAAGTTCATGACCTAATATAACATTCATACTTTATATTTTTAGCTCTGAGTTCTCTTGTAAGCTGTTGCATTTAATATTTTCTAAAAAGTCAACTTCAACAGTCATTCGCACTGGTGCCTTCAGTTCTACAGGCTCTCCTTGAAAGTCAACAAGTCTGAATTGCATGTCTTTCAAATTATGAGGACTAATGCGAACCCATTTACCTAAATGAGTTGCTATGACAGGAACGTTTGGAATGAACATTGAATTGACTGCATAACAGAAGGATTATATTCTACTGAACCTTTACTATTAACTCCTGAAATACCTGTGACATTAGCTATTTTAGACTCAATGTACAAACAATTGCCATAACATACGTATGGAACAGATTTCATCTCAATCGTTTTGTCAACACTTTTCAAAGGAAATGTCATATGGTATGCTCCCAAAGAATTGTACTCTATGACTCATTCTTGGTATCTTAAACTCCTTCGCATAACTGAACTTCAAAACTCCTGCAATAAGTTTAACATTCATTAAGTTTTCTTCGTTATCCTTGTTTATTGTAGTATTTATGAGAGCATTTAACACTCCAGCTAATGTTTCCATCTTATATTCTACATTATTGTGAAATCTTATTTCGTGCTTCTTTCCATCTATTTCAATCTCCATGAAATCTGTTTCATCTGTTATAACGAATGAAGCGATAGTATTGAAGTCAACCATTCTGAATGCAAGCGCCTCATTCTGTAGACCTAAGTTTGTTTGTAGCTTTACTGTCCCGTATTCGTTTGGGTCTGTACTTTGCAAATAGAACAACATTTTATTCTCATTAAAATATGAGTATAGCTGCATATGCGTATGAAGCTGACAGAGCTAAACGTTTATATTTTGGTCAATACTCTCTCACACTTACTGACAAATATATTGTTATCACTGATGGAAATACTGAGAAATACATAACATGGAAGGACTATGAAAAGTTTGACCCTATTTTAACTCCATGTACTATGCCGTTTATAAAGGACGGTGAAATTATTGAAAAAGATAATACAACCGTATATAGGTCTGTTTATGAAGCATTAGAATATATGTTGAATCATAACCCAAAAAGATTTGACCCAAGCACTACACCATGTGCAATGCCTTTTATTAAGGACGGTGAAATCGTAAGAGTTCCGGATTCAACGGTTTACACAGCTGTTCAAAACAGTTTACAAAACATTTTAGCGAATATCTTTAATTCAGAAACTACAGAAATAAAATTACCATATATAACAGATGCTAAAGAAATTAAATCAAAAACGACAACATTATTTACGTCACTTAATGATTTAATGACTTATATCATTAATATTCCTGCACCAACTACAGCATTTGATCCAAACTCGACGGTTTGCAGTGTACCTTTCATAAATGACAGTTCATTAATTACTTTAAGGGATTCGACAGTAAATGAATCATTAAAGGCGTCATTAATGAAAATCATTGATTTTAACTCATTCACGAATACATATAATTCATTCATTAATGTTTCATATGCTTCTAAAGAAGGTGAGCCAAAAACTATCGATAAAGCGGTGTATGAAATAAAAGCATCAACGACGAAATTGAATTCGTTAACTTTTGACGGTGATAGTTTCGTTAATGACATAACATCGGGGAAAACAATTTTAACGAAAGAATACTTAAAATCTCATGTTAGTGAGTTCGTTGAAATTGAAAAAGAAGGTGGAATTAAGTTCGATCCACTGAATTTCATTTTCAGCTTAGCGAATGTGGGTGTTAGTTTCGCTGAATGGACAACTATACAGAGTGAAATAAATGCAATATGGACGTTTTTGGGGTCAAAAGCGGGAATGGGTGAGCTTGTAAATGCTGCAAGAACATTAGGTGAAACAGGAAATTTTGTAGATGGTTTTAAAAGACTTGTTTCAAATGTTTTAACAAACACAAAGAAATTATTTAGATATACCGTACATAACGGACGGATTTTCGAACAGATAGCAACAAACCCTCCGGTTATGGCTGCGTTGATGATGGTTAGAGATATAAAACCACGTAACGACGGGAACGAAGAACATGAACAACAGGATACTGGTCGGGTTATTCGAGACATTAAAAACGTGTATCCTGAAGTTATTGATTTATTTAGAGGAGTTAATGATTCAATTTCAAAACATTCTATAACCCTCGATGAAGAGAATAAATTAACAGATTATATATTCGTCATTATTGCAGAATTAATGAAGAGAATAAATGAAAAAGGAATTGGTGATATCATTAATGTCAGCGATGTAATGATGAAAAGAAATTTTGACTCATTATTTACAAAACCGAAAACAGAATATAGTCTTTATGACGTAATTACCGAATTAATGAAAAAGATTAATGATAATAAGAGTTCTGGCGGAAGAGTTGAACTTGAAATAAATGAGATAGAAGAGAAATTAGCCGAAAAAGCAGATAAAAACCACGTTCATTATATAACTTCAGACGAACAGATTATAACGGACTACCATGGATATTTAACACGAACTGAAGAAGAAGTGAAGACGGAAGATGTTAATGAAAGAAGATATAAATTCATTCGTGCTAAAGGTTATGACATAAGCTGTACTGTACATTATGACACGGGTAAAGCGCTAGAAGCATTTGGTTATAACAATGAAATTTATGCTTCATACTTCTTTGTTAACGGTGTATTAGTTGAACCAAGATTTACATTGAGAGTTAAGACAAAAATAACTTTTGAAGATGCTATTAAAAGTAAAGCTGACAAAGATGAACTTGACGCAACGAACAAAGTTTTGAAATCTCATAAACACAATATCTCCGATATAAATGAACTTCAAGCTACATTAGACAGTAAAGCCGACAAGAACCATACACATAAATCCTTCACTACTGTTAGAGCAGACGACATAATATTGAACTATGATTTGGGTTCAAGTGCACCTTTAGAGAATCCAAGTACAAGCGTAAAAGATACACTAAACTCCTTAAATAGTAAATGTATGAACATTGAAAGTCATGTCAGAAACTTTGAAACACATGAACTACCAGCAATGTTAGATAAAAAAGCAGATAAAGAACATACACATAAATCCTTCACTACTGTTAGAGCAGACGACATAATATTGAACTATGATTTGGGTTCAAGTGCACCTTTAGAGAATCCGAGTACAAGCGTAAAAGATACTCTTAACAATTTAGATAACAGTTGCAGGAATATCGAAGGTCATGCCAGAAACTTTGAAGCATATGAACTACCAGCAATGTTAGATAAGAAAGCAGACAAAAACAGAGCTTCAAACATTAAAGACTGAAATACTTCAAACATTATATCCTGTTGGTTCTATTTATACGTCAATGAACTCAACAAATCCAGAAACAGTTTTAGGTTTTGGTACGTGGAAGCAGACTGTAGATAAATTCTTATACTGTGCTAATATTCAAAGCAAACAGGAGGTTCGAAGAAAATTAAAGAAGCAAACCTTCCACCGCACACTCATACAGGAACTACAAACACAACAGGTAGTCATTCACATTCAATAACAAAAAGAGGTTATACAAATCTTGCAGCAGGTTCGGATAGACAGGGAATGCATAGATATGATATTTCAAGTGACCCAGTAGATTCAAGCGCAGGTATTTTCTGTGGAACCACAGGAAATCATTCACACACTTTCACAACAAATCCAACAGGCTCGGGTGCAGATTATATGCCACCATTTGTGACTATATTCGCATGGTACCGCGTTCAATGAACGCGCTTGAGCCTAGAATAAAATCTTTAACTTTACATAAATGAGCTTGAAAGAAGTATTCGAACAACATCCATGGAGGTCATTTAAGAAGTTCAATGAAGCTGCAAAGAGTTGGGGATTTACTAACAGAGCTGAAGTGAAAAGGTTCTTTGACAAAAATGTTGTACATCAAACAAAAATAAACCCTTACGACTACTTTTACCAATTTACTCCAACACTCCTGACGCATACCAATTTGACACTCTCATTCAAAGCAGAAAAGGAGGACATAACCATTCCTCATCTTCATTAATGTTAACACTCGTAAAGCATATGCATATCCAATGAATAAAGGAACTCGTGAAGTTTTAAGAGTTTTACAAAAGTTTGTAGCAGAACATAGCCCAAGTACTTTAACATCAGACCAAGACAGTGCATACCTCAGCAATGAAATCACAAATTTTCTCATTAAGCATAACATAACTCACTACACTACTGAAGACCATAACCATAACATACTCGGCATCATAAACCGCTTCATAAGAACGCTCAGAGATTTAAACCAAGAGCGAGACTTTACCGAAGAAACAATGAAACATTTTCTCGAAGTATATAATTCCTCAACACATTCTACAACAGGACATACACCAAATTCAATGACACAACAACAAGAAGAAAAGTATATACAAAAGAAACGAAGCCAAACACAAAATATCAGAAATTCAACACAATTTACCCTCATTCCTGGTACAAAAGTTCGTGTAGTTCTTGACGACAAGCCGTTGACAAAGAAACGTTTAAGGTTAAGTAGAAACTATTATATCGTAGACTCTACGCAAGGTAATGGATATCTTATAAAAGCTGCTGACGACTCTATTGCGTTTTACCCTCGACATAAATTAGTCGAAAGTAGTAATGGCAAACTTGCTGAAACCATTGACGAAGCAAAGCGAGGAGTGGTTATTGAAATACTTGGCTATAACATAAACGATGACACTTATAAAGTAAGATATGAAGGAGGCGTTGAAGATGTTATACCATCTAAGAACTTGAGAGAGTCAAAGCCAACACATCTGGGACCATTAGAGCGGGAGTACTGGAAAGACAAAAATAAGCCAGAAAGAATAAGAAAATTCTTCTAAACTTTTTCATTAGATGTAAATCAGACATGAATGACAACAGTCATGATATCATTAATGGTACCATTTATTTTTGTCATAAATTTACACCAAAAATATATTTTAGGTGAAGAGGTGAGATCTCACCCGTTTTTTCACCTCTTTTTTCACCCTCGCCGCTTAGCGGCTCAGATTGCTTTAGCTTTCTCGTGAATTTTCATGAATTTCCTTAAGATAGAAAAATAAAGTTAGTTTTATTTTTATTTATTTTTTTATTTTGTATAAAAGATATGATTTCAACAATCGGCACAACAACAATTCAAGCCACGAACGGCGGGACTCTGTCCACAACTACAGCACCAAACTCGCTAGTCATGAATCCTACGTCAATGTTGGTAGAGATGAAAAGCTTTATTCCTTCTTCATATACTTTTGAAACAGAAATCCAGAAGATAAAGCAAGAACTTTTAACAAGTAATTTAGACTGTAGTGCGAAAGATGAAACAAATGAACAGTATCTTTATGAAATGGAGGACCTCATCGACCATTTGCCTAAACTACCTGAAATTCAGCAGCAAAAACTAACTATTCCTGAATTCGACGAAATTGAAGTCAAAGCAACTGACTCAGTAGAAATTAAGAAATTCATACGTAAAGTAAATTATGAATTCCTTGGTTTTCATTGCAACCATAAAGTTATGGACAAAGATTGCGACATGGTTTATAAAAATATTTCTGACCTTTACAAATCCGAAGAATTTAAGACATACGATAACTTTGTTTCATTAGTTGCAAAATGTGTATGGCAGATAAGAGATAAAGATAGAAGAGGTAAGGTATGGAATGAACAGATAAAACCAGCAGCTTTTGAGTTAAAGAAAACCATTGACGCCTTAGTTGTTCTAGCTGGTTTTATTTCAATGTATAACGCAAAAACGATGCCGCAATGTTCAAAATGTAAAGCAGCAATAAGAAAATATAACTACTCAGTCAAAGAGATAGAAAGAATGCGAAACGACTATGCAGACTTAAAGAAAGAAGCAGAAAAGCCAGCAGAAGATAAAATGGATATGTTGACATTTCTTAATAAAAACTATCCAACAGCAGAAGATTTCCTTCTGTCTGACGTCAAGAAGAAATATAAAGAAACCTTCGGCATTGTTAAAACTTTTGATACTAAAAGAAGAAATAGAAGCTACGAAATTGTTTAGGATTTCAAATATACATCGTACAATTCATGTAAAACGCTTGTGAAAAAAGAGGTGAAAAAACAGGTGAGATCTCACCTCTTCACCTCAACATTATTTTTATTGAATTCAGCACAAAAATAATGAATTTCATTAGTTATTTTGTATGTAAAGACAGTAATGACAAACATTGAGTTTGAAACAGTTAGAAAGATAGACAATGACACCAAAGTGGTTAGAATAGGTGATTTAAACGTAAGATACTCAAAGAAATACAACAAATATTCTTTGTCAGACATTATATCTCCATCTGGAAAGAAAACAAACGACTGGGTTAGAAATGCTTCAACTCAGAAAATTTTGACAAGAAATCCTGAGCTTATGATATCAGTAGCATTTCATGGAACAAGAGCATATCTTATAGACAAAAGTCTTATACCAATAGTTTTGTTATGGTTAGACCCAGTTGTTGGATATAACTTCATAACATATGGTTCATTCGATACGGAACGTTGCAGTGAAGGCTTACTTTACATCGTTCAGAAACCGAAGGACTTCAACACAAAAAGATATAAGATAGGAAGGACATATAATATAACTCAAAGATATGACAGTACAGTCAATAGAGTCAAGGTTGTGTTTGTTAATGATATGAGAGCTGCTGAAACAGAACTGCTTGAAGTTTTTGAGAAAATGTATGGTGCTCCCACGAAAGGTAAAGAAACGTTTGAAGTAGATGAGATAGATAAAGCTATAAAATTATTTGACGAAGTTGCTGAAAAATACATGTAAAGCGTTTATTTTTGGTCTTTTGTGAAAGTCAGAAAATAAAGTTAGTTTTATTTTTATTTATTTTTTTATTTTGTATGTAAAGACAGTAATGACAACATCAGAGAACACAACAACAGTTATAGTCCATGAAGCTATAAATGAAGAATACGAATACATACAATATAACAAACAACTTCGCCTCATTCGTTCGGTCAAAGATGACATGTACCAAATGCAAAGTATAATGAACGCTCTTCGTTCTACAAAGCAAGCATATCATTGGTTTGAAAACCAACAGACAAAAGAACTTTTAGAAGAATTTCCTCATATGATTGCTTCCCTCGGAAAACCGAGAGAAGAGATTCCGTACGAAAATCGCAAGAATTTGGCTCCTGGTTTGAAAGGTTATTATGTTCATAGACTTTTAGTAAACGCTGTAGCAATGTGGGCTTCACCTCGTTATGCTTGTTATATTTTCATGATGTTAGATGAACTATATAAAGCAGAACGTGGAGAGATGGAAAAGAAACTTCAAGCAAAAGATGAAGTCATTGAATCCAAAGACAAAAGCATACAGAAAAGAATACCGCGTTCGGTACCAAAAGGAAAGGAAAAGAGTTATAAGTATATGATATATACTGAAGAGTTGGAGAAAGAAGAAGATAAAGATATGGTTATGTTACATTTAGTCAGAAGAAACAACAAGAGCTTTTATGACTTAGCTAAAATATATAAATCTGACAGAAACTGGTTCTATCGTGAAAACTTACCGATTTCAATGACACCGAATGACAAATAAAGGAAATTGTCAAAAATACTCTTCCTCAAACACACTATGACATCAAAGGTTGCACAATACTTACATTCAAAGAAGACTTAACATTACTGAAGGAAAAAATAACAGAATATTTCGATAACTTCAAAGAGGAAGAATAAAAAAATCTAAGCTAATTTTATTTTTTTTATAAAATTTTATCTCATATGAAAGAACATGAATTTAGAATATTCGGAACTCATGACAGAAGAAGAGAACGAACAACATGTAAAAGATTATGCAAAATTTCTGAAGACATACAAAGCATTTAAACAATATCTAAATGCTTCTAAAGATTATGCAAAATTTCTGAAGGTATATAAAGCTTATGAAAAAGCGTATGAAAAGTTTATACATTGGGGAATTGTTGTAAAATATCGATATGAAGACTAACCAAAAATATATTTTTGCTTAAATAGCTTCAGGGTCTATTTCTTCAACCATTTCACTTCCTTCGTCAATGTCAATAGAAGCTTCTTCAACCTTTGGTAAGAATTTCTGTATAACATCTTTGTTCGTTATTGTCTTCAGAGATGAAGGATAATATTTCACATTTGTTTCACCCTTCTTATATTCTTTCTGTTCGGAAAGATTTAAAGCAATACTGAAGAAGTCAATGTTAGAGTTCTTTATAACAGTATAATGAGTATCTTTGACATTCACGAAGAAACTCTTTTGTTTCAAAACTACTGCTAACTCTTGTGAAGTATAACGTTTGCGGTCAATGACGATAGCTAATGGTCTGACATACTGACCAAACTTAGATTCTTTCACAAACTTCTTGTTAAAGATAACATTAACATTTGAAGCATTATTGAACTCATTCTTGATGGCAGTAGCGAGAGCATTGTATGAAAAGAACTTGCAATCTTGCATGTGTTTCATTAAAATAAAAATATTAAATTATTTTGAAAAATAACTTAAAAAAATCTAATCTAATTTTTTCAAAAAATATTTTTTTATTTCCTACTAAAGATGTATCGGAAGTTGTCTAAGTTAGAACACTCGGAAATAAAACAACTTCTTACAGAAGCTAATAGATGTTGCAAAACATTACGCAACAAACAAAAAAGCACTCGCTGACTTCATTAAAGACTATAATGGTGCTATAAGTTATGATAGAATTCATGAGTTCATAAAGCCGCAACGCGGCGAGGACGAAGTCCATACAAGAGCATTTCCTTTAAATGACGTTGCTATTGACTTATATCATAGACGTTCAGTACCTCATGAAGTAAGAAGAGAAATGTTTGACATAACAAATGCAAACGTTGGTGAAACAAGAAGAAGAGACGACACACTGAAACAACAGAGAAGAGAGATGTTTAAGAGCGCTATAGAACAAGTTCGCAAAGCTAACGATGTCATTCGTTCCATTGACGACAAACCAAAAGAAGGTGAGAGATGGTTAAAGAAAGATGAAGAGAATAGGAAGAGGAATGTGAAGACAGGCAATAGACTCATTGACTTTAACATCGAAGCTTTAGATGAACCAAACAGAGACTACTTACACAAACATTTCGGTAAGGTTTTCATGAGACTCTTAGAGAAGATTAAAATAAACTCACAACAAAGATGGATGGTATGTTATAAACTTGGTGGAAAGTATGAATGTTCTACGTTAAACCTCAATAATATTGGAACATTACTACATCAGCTCTTGAAGGAGAACTTTATATCAGAGATAGAAGCAAATGCTGCAGGTATTGTTGAAATGCACTATGACTTCTTCTTGACAAACATAAAGAATCTTACTGAAATAAAGATGTATGATTTAACAGAATATGAAGGCTTAACGATGTCAGATGTAAAGAAAGGCAAACCAAAAAAGAGACCATATAGAGATGAAAGCACACTGACAAATGACCAGAAAGCCATTTTGGAAGCTCTTAAGCAAACAGGAAACCCAGCACTTATAGAAAGCTTTTGGAAAGATAATGGTGAAAAGAAGTTTTATAAGAAGAGAAGCGGTCAGTTCTGGAAGTATCTTTGCACATTACCTATAAATCTTGAACGCTACCAAATCTTCAATGAACTGAACAAAAGAACTGCAGCACTTATGACAGAAGACAATTGTTTCGTTTATGCTTGCATTCAGGCTGGAGTAGATGGAGAGACTATTGACCACATGAGAGAAGTCATTCGTGTTAGAGACTTTCCTCAAAGTAAAGTACAAGAAATTTCTGACGCAACAGGTATAGCATTTAATGTTACCATTGGTTATTTCAATGACTCAAGACATAATGAAATAAAAGAGATACATACCAAAAGAATGTGAAACTGTTAGAATATTGACTTACTTCTTGTTGAAGACCACTACATGCTAAACGAAAGATTACCAATGACAACATATTTCATTCGCAACTATATAGAAATCTTGAAGGAGTGTGGTGGAATGAACATTGAGAAACAGATGAAGATTTATACAAAGAGAGAGAACAAATATGTAGTTCGTTATGATAGAACAACACCACTATGGGATGTTATGAAAACATTGTGGGTGTGCAAATATTTCGAACCTATTTCTTATGGAGAACTTTTCACATATACGACTGACTTATATAAACAGAACCTTGCACCATTTAAAGATTTGACATATGCTCCAAAGTATTGTGTACAACTGAAGAAGAAAGCCGAGTCAAAAGAAGTAAATAAAAATAAGTGCAAGTTCATTCCTGAGCACGTTTTCTTTGCTGACTTTGAGTGTAGCACAGACGGCTTTCATAAAGCTTTTAACATCTGTTATGACAGTGAAGATGGTTCAGTGAGTGAAAGCATTTGGGGTCAGAACTGTGCAACAGAATTTTTGGAACGACTTCCTGACAAGAGTTTAATATATTTCCATAACCTCAGTTATGATATAAACTTCATCTTAAGACACATGACAGAAGTGAAAGGAACTCCCATCATTAAAGGTTCACGAACAATGCAAATAACTGGCTTATATAAAGGAAGGGCAATTATTATAAAAGACTCTTACAGTGTTATAAATAAGAAGCTTAAACTATATCCTGCTATGTTTAACTTACAAACAGGACCGAAAGAAGTATTTCCATATAACTACTACAACAGTACTTTGTTAGCAAATGACAACAGAACTGGTGTCATTTCTGAAGCATGTAAGTTATCCGGGATGC